TGCTGAAGGTAAATCTAAAAAAAATTGTATAATATATGACCAGCTTAATGGAGGGCTTTTTTAAATTCTTTATTTGTTTCTGGATACTTCTTTACAAATGTTAATGTAAACATCAATGTATAATACAGAGACATAGAGTTGATAACTACATCACATTTTCAACTACCGCTAAGCGCAAGTCAACAGGAAGGTCGCTTCACATTGAGTCATGAAACCGATGTACTTCAATTAGATGTTCCAAGTTGTATGAAAAGATAAAACATTCTAACATACTGTTCTACTTGCGGTTTAATCATGTAAAGCTGCCTGAATTTGTTGGCGAAACACTTGATACCTAAAAAAAAATAAAGGTAGCAGAGAGAAGAAAATTGGGAATAGATTAAAAGAGGCGGAAGAAAAAGGGAGATAGAGAGAGAGAAAAAAAAAAGGAAAAGGGGGAGGGGGGAAAGGGGAGGGAAGGCAAGTCACTCTCCGGGGGATGTCCTCGGTTCCCATCTTTAAGGACAAAAGTTTAGGCCCTCCACGGGGCACTTTAAGGTAAGTCAGGGGCAGCTTGTGACATGACCTGCTAGTTATCTGTACATGAAAAATGTCTCCAGGGTCTCCATCTTTCTCTGAAGGTTTCCTCAGTGTTATGTAGGGTAGCTGTCAGGTATTCCATATGAAGAATATCATTGACTTTGGAATACCTCAGTGACCTAGTCGGGTATTGTGTCTGCTTCCACATAATGGGGATGCAAGCCTTGGCCGCATTCACCAAATGAATTATATGAGAAGCCTTATACTTCGAATGGGCCTCTCCATCAGGTGGATGAGGCAGGCTGCTGGGTTTCCACTCAGATCTATGGATGTCAACTGCTTAACTGTGGCCGTCACATCCTCCCACAAGGGATGTATTCCGGGGCAAAACCAGGAAATGTGAGCTAATGTACTGATGTCTTGGGCACAACGCCAGCATGTGGGCTGTAGTTGTGAGGGTCTGCGGGCAGGGGGCTTATCGGAATCTGGAAGCCCCTTTAGGGGCCCCCAGCTCCCCGCCCCCATGTGAATGAGTATGGGGTACATGGTACCGCTACCCATTTACAAAAAAAAAAACCTGTAGTTTAAAAAATGACAGGAGGCAGTCTTTGACAAGTCCTTTATTAAAAGAAGGAAAATAAAAGAATATCCCCCGAAGTAGATCCAATGGCAATCGCGATGCCCGCAGCTGCCGCTGCCACCCGAAAAAAAGAAAAAAAAGGCTCCACTCCTGACGCTGGCTCCTGGCTGTCTGGCTGCTCCATTGGCTTGACAGTTCTTAAATGCGTAAGGGGCGGTGCCACCCGGTGACATCACCCATATTACACTGCCCACATGTAACATCATTGACCCAGCATGACCGGGTCGATGATGTCACATGGGGCGGGATCACATGGGTGATGTCACCAGGTGGCCCTCCCTTTACATATTTAAGAACTGTCAAGCCAACGGAGCAGTCAGACGGCCAAAAGCCAGCATCTGGGACGGGGCCCTTATTTTTTCCCTTTTTTCAGGTGGTGGCAGTGACCATGCACCCCATACTCATTCACATGGGGGGGTGGGATCTGGGGGCCCCCTTGCTAAAGGAGGCTTCCATATTCAGATAAGCTCCCAACCCGCAAACCCCCACAACCACAGCCCAGGGTTGTGGGGGAAGAGGCCCTTGTCCCCATCAACATGGGGACAAGGTGCTTTGGGGGGGAGCCCACTCAAAGCACCCTCCACCCCATGTTGAGGGCATGTAGCCTGGTATGGTTCAGAAGGGGGGGTGCTCGCTTGTCCCCCCTTTCCTGATCTGCCGGGCTGCATGCTTAAACAAGGGTCTGGTACAGATTTTGGGGGGGACCCCCACACCATTTTTTAAAAAATTTTGGCGTGGGGGTTCCCCTCAAAATCTATACCAGACCCTAAGGGCTTGGTATGGATAGAGGGGGGACCCCATGCCTTTTTTTTTAATTATTTTTTTAATTGCTGGCAGTTCTTTCTTGTACATTCAGCTGTCAGTGGGGAGCCCCGCTGACAGCTGAAACATTAATGCATGTTTTTCACCACTAAAATATCGCATAACTTGATAAAAAAACTCATGCAGTATTTTCGTAGCATTTTTTAGTGAATTCAAACTTTTTTTAAAAGAATGCTATGCGGTATCCTACCACAAACTTGGATGAGGTAAGATACCACTTAGTGAATTGTGCCCTGTAACTCTACTGGAATCCGAGAACTCAATCATGATATGCCCCAGAGAGGGATGGCAGTGTCCTCGCTCTCCATGCCCACCCACTGTTTCATATCTCCATTACAGTGCCAGTTCACTATCCTTGTGAGGTGGGCAGCCTGGTAATAACGCGTTATATCTGGGAGGCCCAAACCCCCTCTAACCTTGGGGTGAGGGAATGGTTGAAATTTAAGCCATGCCAAGCTTCTTGGACCATAGGAATTCCCAAAATAAAGAACGGATGCATTTGAAGAAGGGCATGGGAATGGTCAACGGTATGGCCTGAAGCAGATAGAGAATCCAGGGAAGTATCATCATTTTCAAGATGTTGCAGTGCCCAAATCATGTCAACATCAACATATGCCACCATTTCAGGTCTCGAGTAATGTTTTGAAGCAAGGGAATAAAATTTGCCTGGTATATATCTGCCAGATCATAAATGATCTTGGTACCCAAGTATGTGATTGAGCAGTCTGCCCTATGAAAATAGAAATTGTGTCAGAGAGATTGAAGGGTGGAATTGTGACATTGAGAGCAGCGGATTTCATCAAGTTTATTTTGCAATTCAAAAGCTATCCATAAATACGCAGTTCCCGCAGAATGAAAGGTAGAGTTGTATTAGAGTGAGTAACAAAAAAATCAGTTTGTCCACGGAAGCAACGAGTTTGTGATGTCCTGAGGGTTTGTCGTATCCAGCAATATCAGGGTTTCTTCTGACCGAGCAGAGAAAGGGATCCAAGGTGAGAATAAAAATTATCGGAGATAGAGGACAGCCCTGTCTCATACTATTTGTAATCTTAAAGTACTCCGACCGAGTCTCATTTACCCTTTCTGATGCTGATGGATGTGACTACAGGGATAGGATCAACCCCAACAGGTGGGGTCCCAGGTCTTTGTGTCTGCATGAAATGCCAATCCTGTCAAAGGCTTTCTCTGCGACTGTGGAGAGCAATAAAAAGGGCCGCTCAGAGGATTGTGCCACGTGAATTAGGTTTAAAAACCTGGTTGTGTTGTCGCTAGCTTCACAAGATGGTACAAAGCCTGCTTGGTCTAAATGAATCAAATTTGAGATGTACGGAATCAATCGGGTTGCTAGCATTTTCGAAATGAGTTTCAGGTCCACGTTAAGAATGGAGTGCTTTTAAATGTAAACACTTACGATTGCTGTGATTGTCAACAATGCACAAAGCCAATGAAAAATCAATGGAAAAAGTGAGCGCTATCCAAACAGCTGCTGTGCACTCAAGGTACCAACACAGGCCTTAAATAACATAAAGAATAAATAGTGCAGTGCTAAAAATGACAATATGTATTTGCAGTGATTCAATATGAACAGTCTGTGCAGTTGTAAAAGTTCCAGATGACTAGTGGACTCAATGGTGGTACTCCGTGATTAATAGCTGAATTGCGCACTCACCAGAAGTATAATAATAATACGCGTTATATATTATTATATCCAGAAGTATCCTCATCAGGTAAAGGTCTGGTCAAATTTGGTAGTCCTCCCTCAGGGTGGTCATCATCAGGTGCCCAGAAGTCAGGATTAATCCGATCCAGATAGCCAGAGGTCCCTATTTAGGGGATGGGTGGAGCTGTCTGCTAACAGCAAGTCTTCCTCCTATTGGCAAGGGCTCTGTGAATAAATACTCCTCTCGGGGAGTCAGGGAAGGATGCCCATAGTGTAGTATTGAAAATAATATGTTTATTGGTTAAGAGTATGTTTGCAAACAAGCAGGAGCTAAAAACAGCATCAGGGTGTAGAAGTGAAACTAACCTGTAGAAAATCAAAGATGGCCACCAGGCCTCCACGTGGCTCCGGCGGCGTAGCGTCACAACGTCCTGGACCCCCCTTATGCATTACGTGCGCATGCACTTGATTAGAGGATGGAACCGATTGACGCCATGATGAGATTGACGGATTTATATAGGCGCAATGGCACATGCGCGTTAGCCAGCGCCATTTTGTTGAAGCCTATGGTTGTTTAGTTAGCGTGCGCATAAGCACCATTTTGCCAGTGGTGCTTTTACAAATCAGAAATATATCTTGGCGTGATAGCGCATACATGTTAATAGGCGCCATTTCATTGAAGCCTAGAAATGTATATTGGCATGCGCGCCTGCATCATCTTGCTACTAACTATATATGTACATTCATTAGTTAGTACGATAAATTGCCATAAAGTGCAGGTGTCAAATTAATAATATAAATATTATTGTTATAAAAATATTATTATATATATAAAAATCTTGTTCGGAAAAAGATCTAAATTAGTTAAGTTAATAATATCCGGACAAAAATTAATACATTAAAATACCAATTATCGCCATAATGTGTATATAGAGGAATAGAGGAATATTGTCTTGTTCCTCAAGCACTAATAAATGATAGATAAAATTACATTAAATATATGATAAATAGTATTCGGTATATAAGACATCCGGCTATTTGGCAAAATTCCACATGGAAAGAATAAAAATGGAGATACTAAAATCATACATATCAAATAACATAAAAGTAATACATTTGAAAGGCAGACATATACTAGCATAATTCATTCCATGGTATACTAGGACGAACAATAAAAGTTGAATAAAACAAATATAATAACCAGAGGATATGACATATAAAATGTATATAAACTATTGTCTATAAAACAATTCAGATCCAGTTCAATGTTGAGTCCTGCAGGGTGCAAAGTACCTAACTCAAAAATGTATTTTGTCTCCAACTGAGAGACTGCCCTAGTTTTATGTGTCCCTCTCCAGTGTGGGCAGGGGCGGACTGACCATTTGGAAACTTGAGGGCCCGGGATCAGTAGGGGGCCCCATGAGATGCCCCTGGTACCTTTTTGGGCAAGGACACAGGGGCCCCATGATCCCCTATTGCCCCATGAGTTGTCAGTCTGCTCCTGGGTGTGGGGTAACAATATCTAATCCAACAAATTTGAGTGACGAGGGATCTCTGTTGTGGTATCGTCTATAGTGTAAGGACAGAGAGTGCTCCTTATAGCCTTTTTTGATGTTATAAAAATGCTCACGGAGATGATCCCTCAGCCTTCTATTAGTTCGACCCACATATTGCCTAGAGCATGGGCATTCTAATAAGTATACTACAAATTTGCTGTTGCAACAGACAAACTTGTCGATATCGTATGTCTTGTTAGTTTGATTAGAGTGGTAGGTATTAATCTTTTTCTTTCTAATCCCATTAGTTGTACAGGCGGTACACTTATTACAAGGATAAAATCCCTTCATATTAAATAAAGGGAGGGATTTGGCAGGTGGGTTAATGATATTGGGTGATATCTTATCTCGCAAAGTAGCTGGCCTACGAAAAATAACTTCTGGTACTTCAGGTAAGATTTTTCTTAGTATTGGATCTGCCTTTAATATACCCCAATTTTTCTTAATTATATGCCGTATGGATCTATGTTGCATAAAAAATGTTGTAATAAAAGGGCATACAATATTTTTAGCCTCTTTGCGGTTAGTGTCAAGAAGTTCTTCCTGGTTCATATTGGCCACTGATATAATGGTATTCACCAAAGTGTCATTATTGTAGCCTTTTTCCAGGAACCTGTCTCTTAGAATCGAGGCTTGTAAATGAAAATCATCTATGTCAGTACAGTTTCTTCTCAATCTTAAAAGCTGCCCCTTAGGGATATTGGCAAGCCAGTTGGGGTGATGGCAGCTATCCAGGGGTATATAACTATTGCGATCTGATTATTTAAAATAAGATTTAGTAGTGACTCTGCCATTCTTATTCATCAAGGTAAGAGCTAGGAAGTTGACCTCCACAGTACTATAATTATATGTGAGCTTAATGTTACTGTCATTAAAATTTAAAGTACCAAAAAAGTTAAGGGATTGTTCACTGCCATCCCATAGAAGGAGAACATCGTCAATATACCTTTTTATAGAAGACCAGTTCTGGCCAGTCCCTAGAGTATATGATCTCCTCTTCCCAGTAAGACATGAACAAGTTGGCAAGGCTGGGGGAAAATTTGGCCCCCATCGCCATGCCCTTAATCTGCAAAAAGTATTTGTTGTCAAACCACATATAGTTCTTATTTCATCGCAAATTCTAGTAAATTCATGATAAAGTCAATATGTGTTGTGGTTAAAGAGCTATCATTTCTAAGGTAGAATTCAGCGGCTCTCATTCCTTCTTTATGGTCAATGTTGCTGTATAAGGCTTCAGCATCAGCCATAACCAAAAATATAGAAGGAGTGGTAACAACATCTTTAATAGTGTTCAAAACTTGCTTTGTGTCTTTTAAATAAGACGGAGTATGCGTCACCAATGGTTGAAGATAATAGTCCCAATGTAAGCTCCAATCTTAGAGCATAGAGAATTAATCCCACTGACTATGGGTCTGCTAGGTGGTTTCACAGGATTTGTCAGGAAAGGGCTCACCGCTGGTGGTGCTGTGGCTCACCTGCTCTGTGGGCTGCAGTACCAGTCCCTACCAGTGAGTGCCGTTCAGCAGCCAGGATCTCACCTCCTGCAATCAAGCTATCACCTGAGGCTGATTGCAGGAGGTGTATTTAAACAGCAACCAGGCCTGCGATAAGTGCCTTGGTGTTTTTCTTGAGCCTCTGTTACCTGCTACCTGCTAAACCTGCTACCTGCCCTGTGCCCCGTGTATGACCCCGGCTGGCCTGACTACTCTTGTTGCTGTTCGTGTTTGTATTGGGTGTAGGGGTCTCACAAATAAATTGGTATTATTTTCATTACTCCTGAAGCCTGGTGTTCCCTATGTCAGTCCACACATCTCTGGTCATAGCCAGGTTACTGACAGGATTCTTGTGAATCTTTGGCAAACTGTAGAGAATGGGAAGCCTCCCTTTAACCCTTTCCACTGACCTAACCTAACCCTCCTTCCCCTCATCTGATGTAAACTTACCTCAATTGAATAGCTGTGACAGTGTTTGTTTAGATCTGGCTCCATATGTCTTCACTGCTTGCCCACACCTACAGCTTAAAGTAATGGATGCAAATAAACACCATCAGACTGAGGTAAATATGCACCTCTGGAGTGGGAGAGTGGGTTAGGTTAGGTCAGGGGAAGGGGGCAAAAATGATAAGCGCACTTTGCTTAAAGTGCATTTATCTTTTAGGAATCTATTTATTCCTTCTGTACTGAAATGTATTGTAATTGTACTGTCCCCCTTAAATTGTAAAGCTCTGCGCAAACTGTTGGCGCTATATAAATCCTGTATTATAATAATAATAGGTGATTATTCTTCTGCTTTATTCCTTCGTACTCCTTGTATCCTTTTCCCAAGTATCTCAATTTTGCATGTCACATTAAAATGACAGAACTTCTTTTTTTTTTTTGCTCATACTTTCAATATGTTATCATTGAAGAGAGTTGCATTTCATGTATTTCTATCCAAATGTGTCATGCTATTCCATTGAATTATCTTTAGGAAAGGGTTGGTAGCCAAAGTCAGGTCACTTTATTTATTTTTGGTGGGTTATTGATATACCGAAATAATATTTTTTTTTATGGCTTATTTCCCATATTGTGAGTATTTTTCCATTTTGGTACAAGGCATCTGGTTTGAGGATGTGTTTATTTGTGCTGTCTACAGAAGAACAACTGGAAAACAAGGACAAAGCATTGTCATCCTATAACAGAAAATGCTTGAACATGGTAGGATCATCAGGTTCTCTTTTTTACAAAAATATATTTAAGGACATTGGAAATTAATTATACTTAGTTATGAAACTTTAGTGATTGGGTTTACTTTTACTTCAGGGTATATCTAAAAACAAAAGTTTTTTGCAGTCTTTGTCCTGTTGAGGAGATTACACTTCACCTTGTATCATGGTGACTTGACAAGTAGAATGAAATTCTTCCAGTTTGAGGGTACATTCCCTCTGAGACAGCTGTCACCAGAAAAAAATGTCTGTTTTGGAATATTTCCCCACTCCTCTTATTCTGTTGACAACTGTAAAATCTTGAATTTCCCATTTGATTTCTGCCCCACTAATGTGCACCTGAACAAATAGAAAGAATGATGTTCCCCAGCATGTACATTATTTACAGAAATAAAAACTCAACCCCTTATCTACTCAATATAAAACTAGAGAAAAAAATTTGAATTTAGATACTTTCATTCCTTCAGAACACCTACCTTTAGAAAATGCAAATTATTGCAACCCTCTCCCGCAGGCATCAGCATTTTTATATGTCAGATAAATGCTAGACATACTGAGTACATTTCCATTTGTTCCAATTATGTTGATAGATATGAACAAATGACCAACTGGCTATAAAAGAACAAAAGATAAGATAACATCTAGAAGAAGAAAAAAATACAATGAAATCTGTTTATCTGAAAGAGAGACTGTTTAAGTTCATTGAGAGACAAAAAGGATTTGAAATATTAGGTAACCATAAACAAAAATGTAATATAGATATGGTGACTGCATTAGGTTTCCTTTTTCAAACTTTTTTTCCAACTGGTGAGTCTGTTAGTAGTACCCTTCTTGTCTAGTTGCAAATTTTTACTTGTATAAAGACAATAGACATAGAAAATGACTACAGAAACCTCACCCTTCCTCTTTTCCATTACATAAAAGACACACCTGAGCCCTTTTTTCCCTACACCTGACTTGAGATGGGAAGGCCTGGAAAAAAAAACTGAAAAAAAATGGGAATTTTTTTTTTTCAGTTTTTTCCAAAGCCGGCTTTTGTTTTTTTTCTTGAAAAATTGAAAGAAAAAAGTGTGGAATATGCTTTTTTTACAATAATAAACAATACAGTATATCTATGACATAAAACTATATAATATGAAGACCTTAATTAAATATTTCTGAGACATTATGTAAAGCCATAAATTATTGTTGCAAGTTTTCTCTGCTGAAGACAAGCAAATACTAGAACACAATTCACGTAACACTGTACTTCTCAAGGCAGTTTTCAAACTATGGAAAAATGCATTTCTGTTACTAAGGGAACTACAGAGGTTCCAGTTTAGTTTGGGCTCCATCTTGTACCTCCTACAGATGGGTAATTGTTGGTATACAGTAGATGACAGTTTCTGCTCTCTAAGGCCTTAATTGAGAAGTGAGGGTGTAAATGTGCATGATAAATTAATCTGTCTTTATAACCTTTAAATGATTCATATTAATGTTCTCCACCATCACAACATAATGTTTACCTATAGTCTGCTCAGTAGTTTTTTCCTTTTCCTTCTCTCAGTAAAATGGCAAGACCAACATCTAGAGTTTGGAAATATTTCCAGTGTGTATTTTTTTGCTGAGAGGAAAGCTGCAATTTGCAAATATTGTGAGATGAAATATTCTCTTACAAATGCTACAAGGAGGACAAAAAAAATCCCTGCATGCCAGAGGTGTCCTAAAGACATGACAAAATACTTCATGGAATTAAATGATGAGGACCATAATGAAAGTGCAAGCAGCTTTTTCCTCCTGAACTCTCATTCATGAAATACTCTTCCTGCTGCTTCTGGATCACCACACATTTTTAAAGGAAGTTTAGTTTATTTACTGAACGAGATGTACTTTTATGTCAAGCATAATATTTTATATACACTGCATTTCACATTTCCATTGTAACCAAATGACTTTCAGTGTCAATGCCTGTGAACATCCGAAGAATTCCTTTACTCCAACAGAACTACCCTCTTCCCCTTTTCCAGAGGAAGGAAAAATTTACTGAAGTTTGATACACATGCAAAAAATGCCTGTAATACACTTGAAAATGCCTGTAAAACCTGAATAAATACTTCAAAATCAATGGGAATATGCTCTGTTTAGGTATGAATGCAGGCTAAGACAGGCTCAGTGAATATGCTCTACTATTTTAGTTACACATAGTAGTTCTAAAGCCACTAAAAATGTTACTTTCGACCCTCACTGAGAGACTTTTTAAACAGCA